TAAGATGTTTATCCTATATTTGATTGTGTTTATCTGCAGTTAGTTACACGGATTCAGTTATGGGATGAAATCGGATAGGGATAAACGGGTTTAAGAGTTTTAAGAGTTTAAGAGTTTTTAAAAGTTTTAGCCAAATGCATTATAATATAGTATAGATATAAATATAGATATTTTCTCGAAATTCTGATTTATAATTCTCCATTTTAAAGAGAAGCTCTAAAAACACCTTGAAGCCCGTCCTTAACACAAAGGAAACAAGATTTTACTTCAAGAAAAAAACGCATTAGAAGAGCCTGGCCTTTTAGTATGTCAACGGTTCAAACTTCAACTAAGATGAGAAGCGTGAGTATTTTCCGATTATATATTCTTCTAAAAAACACAGAACACCATCCCTTCAGACAAAACATGATAAAAACAAACCCCAAATACAAGTCAAGTATACATTTGGTTGTATAGATTGTACAAGATAGAAGCACTGCAGAAAACGCCCTATTTATTCTCGCATGGAAACGAATCATACCCACCCATACAAATGGGTATCTAAGGAAGCATGCCTCATGCTAAAAATGGATATAAATAGAAAACAAAACAAAGAGCCTAGTAGCGGAGCATGTAAGTACGACGTCGGAACCAATTGTAGTCCGGCAATAGCTTCACTGGCCCTGATGCTGCTATAGCTATGTCCTGCAATGCAATCCCAATACACACACACAGTTAATATCACATAAACAAACTATGGCTGTTTGGTTGGTTTTCCATCAAGTCTTGTACAATTAAGTTGTCTAATCTATCCTCTTATAGATTTGGAAGGTTCTTGTTTGGGAGGGTTATTTTATAAATGGAATGAGCATGATTTTAAAACTTGGCATTCTACATAAAGCTCCCCCCTAAAAGCTTACTGGATAAGCCACTTTTAATAACATTAAGACACTACCAAACAGTCATGTATAGTATAGCTGACAGAATAAGTTGTAACAAACATGCCCTAACTCAACTAATCCCCATTTCTGATGAAATCCAAGTTGTGTTTATGATATGAACGTCATTGGTTATCCGCCCACATGAGAAATTGTCAACTACAGTCAAGGGCCCATACGTGCTGGGTAGCAAAACTACTGAATTACAATTCGTTTATAATAGGAGTGGCTCAGAAGTCCCCAAGTGGGATTTATTAGAGCTGCCTAGTAGATAGGTTCACTGATCAACCATAGTATTAGTATTAGATGTAAATAACCGACAGATCACCCAAATCCCCGTTTAACCACAATGGGAAGCCACCCCCACCAGGCAGGCGGCCACCGGTCATAACACACTCTTCGCATCGCATACGATATTTTAGATTTAATGATGTTTAAGCCATGGATCCTTGTGTTTTTCACCTTATGGATATCGGAACTAGTGTCTCATCCTAGATTAGCGTCCAGAGTGAGACAAAAGCATCAGTTAGCTTATAACAGGATGGCTGTGGTCCTAGGACCTCAGAAACAGAGTTGTTTTTGTGATTACTCGTTAACCAAAGATGGAAATGGTCAAATTCGTTCGATCACAAAAATGATATTTTCTGATTTAGACCTGCATTGAATGCCGGGCCATTTGTTGAAGATAAAAGTATATCAAACCCATATGAAGTTATATGCGATGACAGATTGTATCCATTGGTTCGATGACGTTTTAAGCCACTGTATCCTTGTATTTTTAGCTTATGGATATCGGTGCTAGTGTCTCATCCGAAGATTACCTCACTATCAATTAGCTAACGGGATGGATGAGGCTCTAGGACCTTAAAAACAGTGCTGTTTTGTTTCACTACCTCTGTTTAATGCCAATTGTATCATTTTCCCTTTAATCGCCTGTTTGCCTATTTCATTACCATTCAAACAAATTGACAGTATTGATTTGGGTCCACAAGAATGCTACGATGTTTCTACTCTTCAGCAGAGGGATGTTTAGATGCTTGTCATATAGTCGAATATTGTCCTTCAGCTTGAGAGTCCTAATCAATATAATGTCATGCACCCATCTAGAGGCCCAAGCCCATTCCCAAATGATATTCTAGAATAGTTAAGAAGGGTAATGTAGGTATTTCTTAGAATAAATATTAGTATAAAGTGGGATGCCGTAGATGGTGGAGGGCATGCAAAAACTTAGCGAGTGGCCTATGGGAAAGTGCTAAGTCTCTCAAATGCTAGAGTTTATCTTGTTTTCCATTTAAGTAATCATCTAATTAGTCTGTTTTCATTTTCATTATCTGTGTTACTGATTTCTGTTCGAGTTCATGACATATGGCAGCATATATTGGTGCTATATGTAAAGAAAACGTGTGAAGAAAGGGGGATTACCTGGTCAAATATGAATTTGTTAGCCACACGTTTGATGGTGGCAGCATCAACTGCATCAATTCGGGCAAATAACTCAGCAAATGGGATTCTACGCCCATATGTAATCAACTGCAAAAGAAAAGCATTCAATAATTAGTAGACGTCATCACAGCAGGCTACATATCATGCATGCTCCATAATTACTAATAAACATAGAAGAAACAAAAAGAAAAGACGAGCTGACTTCTAGTAAAATGCATTTTCAACATGACCTTAGTTTACTTGATTACATAAGCACAACATAGAGTAATCATATTGGTTGATTGTCTAGCCTCAGTGAAGAGAAAAATACATAAAACAGGAATTTTCCATCTCTAGAAACTAATCATAAAAAATCAATGACAGTATCACATTGTCTCAGCACAATATGCTCCTTAGGAGCACAGAGGGGACATTTACCAAAAGCTTACTGGGTGTCACTTACTGGGAGTGCATGGCAAGGACCGAGAATCATACCGGTAAGAGGCATAGCACGGATGGAGAATTAAACCCAGTGAGGGAGAAAACTCTTGCCCCTTAACGCTTACCGGGTGAAAGGCGCTTACCAACAATCCATTTTGATGGCCGAATATGTTACACGATAAGGTAGGTGAGGGTGGTGACTCTTGTCAGTAAGCACATACCCGGTAAGCTTTATCAAAAGGCCCCCAAGTAAATGGTGAATAAACTATAAGTTCTAACAGGCTTACAGAATCTGTTGTATAACTGGTGTTGAATAGAACATACAGTTCATAGGTGTTCTGTTCAACCATCCCAACGAAACAGATTCCACCACTTTACCCTCTAAAACTATATTAAATTAAACAACAAATATTTTTCTTGGTATCTTAACTATTTATATATATTATCTAATAATTAAGAATACTTAAAATTTTAGGCTGGCTTGACAAAACCTTCTGTTCTTGGATAATACTTTACAGTCTATGGTTAAATACATCATCACATCATACTTTAACATGAAATTAAATTTCAAATATGCAAACAATAAACCAATAAGAAAATAACAATAATGGAAATTATATACACACACACACACATATATATATATATATATGTATGTATGTATTATAACACAAGGCTGAGTACTGAGATTAATGGTCGCATGCTTCATGTAGCAAAACCAAATCAAACCAAATTGACCCAGTAAATCCCACTCGAGACTAGGGTATGCAGGGTGAGATGTAAGCCGACCTCACCTCTACCCAAAAATTAGATGGTTGTTCCCGTGAAGACCCTTCGGCTTGTGTAAGAACGAGCAAGTAGGTAGAAGGCATGAATTACTAACATATGGTGAAGCCAATACAAGAGATATATGAAGGAAAAGTTAAGAGTTGGGTACAATGATATCATACAAAAACGTACGTCCAAAAACACAACTCTATCCTAAGACGTAGCCCTCAACCTGCTCAACTCCCTTCAGCCGAACTATGCTAGCTACAGTTCCCCATACCTACTCTGCTACACCGGTCCTTCATCTCCAAGTACTCCTATCAGAGGTCATGTCCTCAGAAATTTCCAAGGCCGTCATGCCTCATGTAGCAAAAACACATAATTATAAATTTTTCTTCATACACATTGAAGAAAAAGGGTGCATCTACCCTCTGTGTCGCTACTAAAACAAAGCCGTAACACTAGAGCTCATCATCATAGAGCTACAAATATTATATAGTATTTTGTATCTGTGTACCTGCCGTCCAATGTCTTCAGCAATAGGGCTGGTTCCATCCAGGTGGAGAAGCAATGAAGATTTAAGCTGCAAACAGTTACAGATTGTTACTCAACAAAGCTCAAAAGATATACTGCTCCTGGATATCATGGATAACATACTCTGCCAACTTTGTTATTTGATGTAGCGAATGACTCTTATCTTGCAATAACCAAATGAGATATTGGTCATACCTCATAACCATCAAGCAATATACATATGATCTAACCAGGGCCAATAACATCAGTCAAAAGCAGTATACACTCCTCTTTTTAGATGCATTCTGCTAAACATGTATATTGAACTCTCTATTTTGTCAAAAGTAAATATTTTGCAGCAGTAAATGATGTATTACATTAGACTATCAGTGAGCAAGTATTAAAAATATTGCAACAAATCGAAACAGTACAACGTAAAGCTTAATTAAAATACATATCATCAACATCAGCTCATCTAGTTATTGTAGCAATTGTACATAGTTAAGCCTCTAGGTTTAGTTTGCATACATTCGCCAATTAATCATTGTTGGGATCGTGTTCGAAATTTTTTACGTAAATGAAGAAAAACTACTAGATGATTGGCACAAATCATGCCAAAGATAAAGAGAAATCTGCAAGATCATGCAGCACAAGCAGAGATGCTAATGGAAAATCCGCACGATCATTCACAGGGATGCATTTTTGTAATTTACATTTGAAAAGGGACTACGCATATGTTTTTGGACACTCTGGATGCAGAAAGGTAAACTTAATGAAATCTTTTTGATATTTAGACAAGACATGGTTAAGGCCAGGAAATGGATAAGCTAACAACATAACATTAAGGCAGAGAACACCTAAATTACCTGATTTTGAGCACGAATGACATCATCCTCCCCGACTCGGTAACATAGTTTGCTTATCTCTTGCATTATTGCAAAAGACAAATCATCCAAGCAATCCGGCTACAGAAAGAACAGAAAGCATTAAGCTGGGTCAGCTGGTAAGCAGTAATCTGAATTTCAATCTCGATGAGTCGTAAAAAACCACCATTTAGGACCTCAGTAATGAAACATAAATGATCTAATCAATATATGCATGTAACTGATGTAAAAAGGCATCCACCATGAACTTGCATTTCATCCAGATGGTACCTAATTTGCCTCATACAAGTAAAAAAAATTAAATTGTGCAGTAATCTTAGGTATAATACTATCACCTGTAGGCAAAAAAAGCAAGAAAGAATCTAAAGCAGATGCTTGACAAATCTGTTGTTAGTAACTCTTATTGGTAGCAACCAAATTAAATTAGATAATAGAAGATATTATAAGGAAAATTATTTGTAAAGAAACAACACAATTATAAGCAAACAGTCCACAATGACTTAGAATTCTAGAGTTCCATCAAATATCTGAACAACAGAATAATAACAAGTTGAAAATCCTAGATGATGTTAGGTTATATGCACATATTTTTAACTGAGTAGATGGCGTTAAAATCTTCCAGGGAAATTAACAAATTGTTGAGGTAAACAAAAGCATACAGGCGGACATGGAATTCTTCCACTCATTAAGAACTGCATAGTTTTGTTTGGATTTCCATAAATACTATAAATGTCCCCAATATTTCCTTTCTTAAACACCGACTGTGCAACTACCAACAGCATCTGCTATACAGTTAATAGTGGTGCTATAGCGGTTTGTACCCCTTGGCTGAATCGCGGTGGCAAATAGCAGCAGAAATTAGTGTTACCACTAATAGAGAGAAGGATTCTGGGTTCATGTATTCCATCTGAATATTACTCTGACAAAGCCACATTTTAGTTATTTTTGACTGAATGTGTGTTCTTTGAAATTCTCCCCAGATTTAGCATTTCTTTCGAAGCATCTAATCTATTTGAAAACAGGTCTGTAGCATTCAAGTGCGGGAAAAAATATAATTTCCAAGTTCTGCAGAGAAAATATAAAATAAAGGGAGGAGTTCTTGGTTCACGGATGCCATCTTAGCATCAGTCCATTAAAATCATTATATATTTGACAAGGAAACTGCTTCGACTGAAACTTAAGAATCCTCAATTTACCCCCAACAAAGCCACTTTTTAGTTACTTTTGGTTGAATGCATGTTCTTCTGCAACCCCAGGCCTAGCATATCTTTGGAAGCATCTAATCTATTTGAAACAGGTTTGTCAAACTCAAGTGGTGGAAAAATCATCATTTTTGAGTTGTGCAGTGAAAGTATAAAAGCACCAAACCAATCAAACAAGTGATTCTCTCTCTCTCTCTCTCTCTTAATGTAACAAAGAATGTCTATGAAAAGATTGTACTGACTATAGCAACATAGGCATACACATCTACTCACACATGAGTTTCTGATTGAAACTAAAATATTCCCAGAACCCAGCAGCAGGTGTCTTTATGTCTTGTCATAGATAATGATGCATAGAAGTAAACGGCTTATGCAATGCTTTTGGCCCTTCACATGCAATCCTCTATAATTGTGCCTCCTACAAAATGAACTTAAACTCACCTTAGCAACAGCATAGACACCAAATAGCCCAGTGTCTTTATAGTTGGTGTTGAAAGCCATCATGCTCTCAGCAAGTTCATTAATTCCCACCATCTGAGCAAGCTGTGAGCTGTTACAGTTTCCAAAGAATGGGAAGTTTTAACTAAATTGAGACTATACATCCAGTAAATTAGATCAAACACGAATATCCATGCAACAATAAGAATGAATCCTATATGCAAAGTTAGAAGTTGCAAAGTTTGAACAAAACAAATAAATGTTTCAGCTTCTGATAGGAATGATAGGATCAATGTAGGCCCTCATTCCAGCAGCAGCAGCAGCAAAAAGACAATTGCCAAGGAGACCCAAGGCAATGGAACAAAGAAAGATGATACATAAATTTCTTAAAATAGCAGATGTTGGGTTTGCAAATAAAAAGAGAGGGATAGGTCAGGTGAAATTTCTTAATCCAGGAATGTTCATGAAATCTTTAATATGGGTGAAGATTCAATGACAGATTCATATCCGAAGATTAAAGAAGAGGATACTAACCCCATATGTTTGCCACCTCCTGCATTTTTGTTCCATGATCCAAGCATGGCTTGTATGACCATCAAAGCAATAGAATCTGGATCCGTCCATGATGCCCCATTAAAGGCAACGGCAAATTGAGCAAGAGGCAAATCATCATCCCTCATACGGACCTGATTATTTCACAGTTTCAGACTTTCAGTAACGTAATTATTAGTCATTAAAAAAGATTACGTGTTCAAATGTCAAAAATCCACTCTCCCAGAAACAGCAACACACCTCTGATCCAGTGAATACTGCAGGCTCCTTTTCTACCAACTGTGTTGTAGTGATGGGATTGGCAGATAACTTTGTGAACATCTTCTTCACATGCTCTACGACATCCTCATGCTTAACAGCTCCAGAGGCAGAAATTACCTGTGAAAGATATATAGAGAAGAAACTTACATTTTTAGATCATATTATATTAGTAACTTCAAGATAGCAAGAGAAATTTTTATTTTTTAAATATATTGCAATTAGGAAAGTTTCAACTAAAATGGTTCAAGTAAACAACAGTGATATTCAGTTGAATACCATTCTGTGTGCAGCATAGTGGGTTGAAATGTAATCTTGAATATCCTTCTTTGTTATCTTCTGGATGTTCTCAGCAGGTCCAAGAATGGTCCTACCAAGGGGAGTGTACTGGAAAGCAGTAGCATGCAAATGATCAAAAATTACTTCCTCGGTCTGCAATCCCACCTGAAACCAACATTGCAAGAATAACATACATTCAGTAAGCCAGCAGCTGTAAGATTATCATACAGCAAATCAAATCATGCACCACAATCAAGTAAACAACTTATAAATCCTAAAGATGCCCAAAGATGCCACCTTATAGTTTAGAGGGTGGGTCCATAAGAGGGATCAAAATGCAGCGAGGCCACCTAGGAACACACTTAGTGGCTACTTCAAACACTAGCATGCTACTACTGGTTGGTTGCCACCAGAAATGTAGGCATCATCGTTCTTCATTTATTTAAATAATCTCTCAAATATAGAATAAAGAGCCATTTCAAACTTCCAAGAGCGCATTTCTTATAAAATAGAGAAAAGGATGCAACAGTTCAAATACTAACAATAACATAAAACTTCATTGTGGCATAACCGCTTACATTACCTGTATATTTAAGTGAGTATCTTCACTTCATATAATTGATATTGATATGAAAGCATTCAAGAACAAATAATCTCTTGTACTTATAGTATCATGCTATACTAACTTTGAACCATATCTATCCCATCATGTGGTTCATAATTTGGGTTCCACTTTCAGTTTACCCATGGTTCTAAAAAAGCGGACAAGGCATATGCCTCAAGGCAAGGCGACCAAAAATTGCACCTGAGACGGCGTCTCTCAAGCCCTGGAAGACGTACGCCTTGGCGATCTGAGGCGGTGAAGGAGTCGGTGAGACAGTGAAGTGGTGGAGAGGCGTATGCCAGTCTACAGAGGCTATTTTATTAAGGAAATGACTGAAACCCCTTCGCGAGTTCTTCAGTTCTTCTCCTGTTTTCTTCTTCGGTTCTTCTCCGGTTATCCAGAGCATCACATATATATACACACACACTTTCATATTTCAAGTCTCTAGAAGTCGCTTCTTCAAGTCTCCATCTGTTATAGGTCCATCCCAATCCCACATTGTTAATTTATTAATAGTCTTTTGTCCCTTTCTGAGCATATGAATATTTTATTCTTTGTTGATATATATATATTTCATGATTGAAAAACATTATATGTATATTCTGTTAGTAATTTGAATGCTATATATATATATGTATATACTGTTGTATGGAGATGGCAGAAATATAAACTAAAATATCTTAGAATTGGAAATTACCAAGTGAGAAAGTTTCCTAAGTGCCAAGTGGACCATCCATTACAGAAATCATTTCCCAACTTCATTATGGCACAGTGAGGTGTATCATTGGTTAAAATAACATCCTTAATATTTCCATCTCCTGAGGTGTATCATTGGTTTAACAACCCTTCAAACAACAGAACTATCATTATCTGCTTATTGACTTATTTCAGTCTGGCACCGGTGATAAGCTAATACCTAGTGTTTGGATAAGAAAAAAGAAAACTGCTTATACCGGTGCCAAACCGGTAATAAGCAGGTTTTGATAAGTTAATCCGTCCCGACTTATGAAAAACTGCTTATTACCAGTTTACCATTTTAAYCCTATTACCCTTTATACCTATMTTTTTTCCTCCAGATAACATCGATCTCAATCTTCTCCCTTCTCCATATAACAACATCAATCTTCTCTCTGTCCTTTTTGGTCATTTTACAGATATAAGCAAAATTTGTCAAACACTAAAAAACAACTTATCAGCTTATTGCAGTTTGGTACTGCTGTAAGCTAATCCAAACACTTTTTATAAAACTCCAGTTTAATACCACATAAGTTAATAAGCACTTTCACAAAAAAACATAAGTTGTTTTAAATAAGCAATCCCAAACACCCCCATAATTGGTATTTGAGCATCTTTTACCTAACAGATGAGATACACTCATACAACCAAACAAAAAGAGCCCAATATATCCACTTGGGGGTAGGATGTAAGGGGCCTTTCCTCCACCCGAAGGATGTTTCTGTGAGAGACCTGGCTTGTTCAAAAATAATGGAAAGTACTAAAGAAGCTGAAAGTTTGTAAAATATTTCTTTATAGATTTAAGAATTTGAATTTTGATAAAGTTATTGAAGTGTTTGTGCTTGATCAACTGGAATCTAATTGTCAAGTTTCAGTGTGAGCATAAAAGGCATCAAAAAGCTTTGTCTCCCCATCCCATCTTTTATCTCTCCATCCCCCTTCGCCATCTGCAAGACCTCCTAGTTCGGCTTATCCAGGAACTTCTATTAAGGTCATTATTCTACAACTTCAAGTATGAAATGCATAAAGATTATATGATTCCCAGCATCAGTGACAGTGGCTTTCAATTGCGATGATGATTCAACTATAGCTTAAAAACCAAAATGAATTTAAGAAAAAGAGTGCAAAAACATAAACCTCTTCCATCTCGCGAAGAATCACGTCACGCTCACGGTTAATCAGTCTTTCGTCAAAAGACGAGTTCTGCAATATGTCCGATAGAATATCTAGAGCCTTAGGCACGTCTTCTCCCATCACTTTGGAGTAATAAGTCGTTTGTTCCCTCGAAGTATACGCATTCAAATGCCCTCCCATATTCTCAATTTCCTCCTCCAAAGCCCTAACCGACCTCTTAGCTGTCCCCTTAAATATCATATGCTCAAGAAAATGAGCAACACCGTTGTTGTCTTCGGTCTCAAACCGAGAGCCTGCATCGATCCATACACCGACGGTGGCCGTCTTGGATGCGAGGTTAGACTCGGTGGCGACTCGGAGACCGTTAGGAAAAGTGGTGACACGTGTCTCGGGGTAGGTGAGGATAGATGTGTGATCGATTAGCGTAGGGTATGGGGAGTTGTGTTTGAGGAACCTAGGGTCGGGATTTTCCAATCGCTTGAGCTTCGATTTGACTTGTTCCGCGACGCGATCGTAGATCATTTGATTGGGATGTGGTGGCGCTGGTGTTGGAGTGTCGGAGACGCTGGAAACGGCGGTGGCGGTTGAAGCGGATCTGGTGGTGATGGTGGCGGCTGCTAGAGCTCGGTGAGAGCGGCGAGAGAGCTTGAGGAGGTGGCGCGTCGCCATGGCTGGTGTATGTGCGTTGTTTGCGACTCCAATCTGAAGTGAGATTGGGAGCTTATTAGGGTATGGGGGAGGAAGTGCGTATGATGTAATAAACGAACGAGGATTTGTACCACCATTTTAACCACTGTTTATATAAACGAATGAGAGTTAAAATGGCTTAAATAAACGTAAACCATCTTCAAGAAATTATTTAAAATGAAAAAATAAATGGTGTTTGATTCATAAAATGGAATTTGATGGAATTATAATTTATTATAATATGATTTTGAATAAATTGAAATATTTGACCATGCATTTGATTGATAGGAATTGAAATAAAATCTCTCAAAAGAATTGAAAAATAATATTTGTTTGGACTATCTCGCTCATTGCCCTACCTAAACCCCTACCAACCACCATGTCACTATTATCATCGTCACAACTATCATCCTGCCCCACCTCTATCCAAACTCTGCCCCACCACCCAATCACGCCCCACCCCCTGCTCCATGGATGGGGGTGGGGCAGTGCATCTAGACTAATCTTATTGGATAGGCCCAAAAGCCTTGAGCTAGCCTTGTTTGCCGGTGCCTCGCCTTTTATTTATTGATTTCTTATGATTGCCACATTTTATGCTGTGTTTATGTCTTGGACACGGGGTCGAAGAAAAAGCATTTTACACGTTGTGAGTTGTGAATTGGCTGAGATTGTGTATCTGGTTTACCAACTCTTTAGTCATATCTAATACGCCATTTTCATATATTGGGTTGTTGAATCAAAATGACCCATGTCTTGTCTCGTTCTTTTTGTATGATACCCTGTCAATGGTGATAATGTCTTGTTTGCGACTCAAAAATCAATTTTGAATATTAATTGTTGTTTCCGTTGGGATCGTGTGTTGTTATTTTATCTGGTTGTTTTTTATTTATCTAACCAGTTTTTTCGGCAACACAATGAACGGCAGGGTGTAAATGGTTTTCAGCTCAACCATCCATCAATATAGGGATAGATCTTGAATACGTTAAATTTAGGAACCGTTCTTAGTTACTGATACCATATTCGATAAAGACAGATTCTTGTAGTAACTTTGAGTGTGTAGAAAGTCGACTGGTCCAATTGGAACCGCTAGACCATAATTGAATATCTATAGGATCGGATTGAACATTTCAACTAGTGATGGCCAAACGGTCCGACCCGGGACCGGTTATGAGTTTTGTCGGATTGTGGGACCGGACCGGTTATGGACCGGCCCAGCCCGACAATGACATTTTTTAGAAATATAGTCGTTAACGAATTGTTTTTTTGTATTTCTTTAGCCTTTGAACATTATAAATATGTAACAATGATGAGAGGTTTACATATCAAGTTCTCAATTCACAAAAAACAAAAAAAAATGTTCACAATTCTCGTAATAAAACGTATTTTTAAAGTGTATTTGAATGACTCGTACGACAAATTTAAGAATGTATTAAAAATATATATGATTAAAAATTTTAATTTTTTTAAGGTTGGACCGGTGGCCCATAACCGGTTATAAACTAGCCTGATCGGTCTTCATCTATTCGACCGGGACCGGTTATAGCCGGTTATGAGAAATCCTGGGACCGATCCGGCCAGAGTATGATTTTTGGCCATCACTGATTTCAACATTCAATTTGAATCAATCTGTTAATGGATGACAGTCCAAAATTGACCAAAGCCTACCGAATCGACCCAACCAACATCTAATTATCCATCTGACTACCATCCAGTTATCCATCCAACTATTATGCAACTATCATTCAATTAATTTGTTTTCAATTTTCTTAAAATCGGAGTTTGTCTGTGTTGATTCTTTAATTTTTAGCCTCACTTGCGTTGCTTTAGTACATATTAAAAAGTGATTAATCAACTTGTTTAATTGTTGGATTAAGTTAACACATGAATCCAATTCGATCCGACCAATTAATATTGGCTGGATTCAATCCGACCAGATCCAATTAATATTGGTTGGATCTAATATGATATAATGGACGTCCAATAAAAATATCCAATGAATGAAACCGAATCGATCCGATCATCCATTAGATTAGATCAATTATCCATCGTTTTCGATTCAGACGGTTGACAATCCAACATCCAATGAATGAATTAATCGATTCGATCTCCCACATATGGGATGAATCTCAACCTATATGATAAACAAGCCTAATTCCAACCATATTTAAAGGTAGAAAAGGAACGTGTGGCATCTGCAGTGGGCATAAGAGTAATTTCAATACAACTTTATATTTGCAAGATAAATAAACAAAATACGATGGATATACAAGAACCGAATCCATCCATTCCCCCTTTTCATCGAGTTCTTCGAGATATCTCTCGAATCAAGCTTCAATTCCTGTTTATTTATTCATTTAACCTCTTAAACTGATTCTCGTTATTCGTTCATTTCCATTAGTTTTTGATTAATTCGCTTATCTTATTGAATTTTAGGGTTAGGGTTTGTTCTTCAATCTTTAGATTAAGACCATCCCAATTTTACCCGGAACCCTATATCCAGGTGGATATACTGGTTTCTGTTGTTAATTCGTCCAAAATTGCTTGCTGTTGCAAATAGCGTTTTGGGTATTTTCACACGAATACTAGTTAGTCTGCAATGAAAATTCAAGTTTGAAGGAAACACCATGTTCATTGCTTTAAACACATGTATGCATTTCAATAATCGAAAAGTATTTTACTACAATCAGTTTTGGTAATTAAGACAGAAAGATATCTGAACTTGGAAGCTTTTGCAATCATATGAATTCAAGTGCTTCTATGTGATTCTCCCATGTGTATAAAGAACCAACACAAATTTGGAAGCTTTTGCAGTTTCATAGCCATTGAGATGTTGTGATCACTGTTGTGGTAGTATATACTTGCTTAGAAGTTTTAGACTCTAATGCAATGTAGGAATGTTTGTTGGCAATCTACTAGATTCATATGTGCAAGCTTTAGAGGACTGTTATATGATGTAGTAGTCTGTTATATGCTCAAGTTTCTGGTATTGAAATACACATATATACCTGTTCTTAAATCTTGCCTTGAACCACAAGGGTGGTGTCTGATTGGTTTGAGCTTGGCTTCGAAGGTCAAAAGTACCAGGTGGTCCAGGTTCAAATTCAAGGAGGAATAAAAATCCCCTTGTGGCCATGGAGGTTCAAATGCGGTAACTCCGGGCTATCTGCAAAACAGATGGTCGTCATGGGATTAGTCAACTCGCATAGTGGGTTGGATATCCAGGTTAATAAAAAAAATCTTGCCTTGATGTTGGCTTTTAACCCTTCTTTCACATATTTCAAAGTTGTTGGAGATAGATAGGGATGATGATGAATGGTGGGGAAGCAAAAAGGGTCTTTTGAGGTTAGAGTAGAAGATGAAGATTTTGCTGTGATTAGACCTTTTGTTTACTCTTCATCTGAAGAGGGTAATGAAAATGGTGTTGTTGAAGGTGATATTGTTATTGGAATTCAGGGACATGTTATACGTATGATTTTGAACAAGGCTAATACGAGTCCAATCTTACACTGTTTGGGTCTTTCATTAACGAATGTAAAACTTACCTCTTTAATTTCTATCAAAAGATAAAAGTAATACGTCTCATCATCGCCCTGTTATTTATATATATATATATATATATAT